GTCATAGAAAATAGATTGTACTATTAGAGTTATGGCAAGAAAGAAAACATTTTATTGGATAGACAGCATAAGCCGCTCGCTATTAGGCAAAAGCTCCTTAAGTCCCTACTAAGATTGTAAAGATTCTAAGAACAATTGAAAAAAGCAGGACTAGAAAGGAATCTTCTTATGGACGTTGTTGAATGACGTACAAAAGGGGCTCCTTGTATAAGAAACTTCTACCACATATAATACGGTAAGTAATTGATCTCTATGACTCTACACATAACAAGGTATGTTAGTATCCCATAATTTCAAGTATAAGATATTCTCAGCTTTCAAGCAACAATATGGAATATTCTCCATTATTCCACTAAAGTTCAAGAATCTAAACTTATTGTGAATGCAGATGTATTCTATTCTATAACTACATTGATTTTTCTTGATTTTTAACATTTTACACAAGTATAGTTAGGCGCAAATAACGAAAAAGATTAACTAATAGAGGATATGAGCTCGTGCACATATAAGGAGTCAAAAACATGATTAGATCCAATCCAGATAAAATGATCGAATCCAATTGGCCACTAGTCTAAGCATCAAAGCTTCTTTCCTTTCGACTATTCTGATAGAGGCGAATGAATAAAGTGGACAAAACATACTCGCATCTCTCATCAAATAAAAACTGGTAAAGAATCATATCAACAACTTTCCAACCAAACTCGATCTGACAAAAGCCATGAAGGTCATTAGTTTCTTTTACTGTAGTTGCTCACCGAGCTCATAAAATAAGCAAGTCGAATTTTTGAAACTTACATAAGGTTGCTTCAATTTTGTCCAAGACCTATTACTGAAGCAAACTCTTCTTTTTTTACAAGGTAAAGTTTAAGAGGGAACCAAACTCAAAATAGTCTCTAATTGGTAACCCACAGAAGTGAACTAGGTAAGAAGGCTGAAGTCCTAAACCTTTCCTAAATTTTCTGAATGTTACTATATCAATTTATGGTGACTTTGTAGTATACATTAGGATTGCAGTGATAATATTGCTTGTTTTCTCCAGATGTACAGGTTAGGTTTATCTATTTATTTTTTATTTCATTTAGAGTTAAATTATCATTTTAGACTAAATTAGATTAGTACAAATTAATTAGCGGTAAATATCTATACAATTAAAAATAAATATATCAATATAAATATACATTCCATGCTGGATACAATGATAATTGCCATAAATTTTTTAAAATTTGGAATGAGCTAATATGTTAAAGTTTGAATTCAACTAAGAATTTGCCACATTTACTGTCCTAGATTTTATGAAATTTCTTAAATTCCTGGCCTTCTAAAGTTAATGCATGAACAGGTCAACAGCATAAAAAATTCTACAATAAGCAATATGCTTGCAGTATGTGTGATGTGGTGGAAATATACAATCAGAGTCTGGATTATTATCAGAATTGTCATGCATATCATGAATGAATAAGACGACAAGCAGTACCCTCCATAGTGGTCTTTAATGCACGACTTGGGAATTTAGCAACACAAATAAAGTATGAGTTGAACAGGTAATTAACATCTAACGTCAAACTGCAAAAGACTTCCTGAGAATTCAACCCGCTAAAGTGCTGCTGTCTGAAGACTAGATCTGGAGTATTTTAAGACATTCCATTTCATTTCTGTCCTCTGCCCCTCAACAGATTAACTTACAGTCTCTTGCCAATTAAGATAGTCTCTCTACCAAAGTTATGGAGTTACATCCAAAGATTCTACGAACTGAATTCTAACAGCGTAGTTGATGGGAATGACAATAAGAGTAATCAACTATAAATAAATGCATAGAACACTTATTGAATCCAGATATTTCTGTCATAATTGAAATTCAATAATCTTAACTTTGTCAGGAATCCCCATAAATTTGGAGAAATAAACAATAACTAACCTAGACCAAAATAATTTCTTTGAAGCTCAATTTTTTTCCCAAATGAAGTTAAGCAAATCAGTGGTTAATGTACAGTATAAGCTATGGGCTCGGCTGAACCCAGTATTTTCGACTCTGACCCTGTATAAGTGTTAAGAATTCTACTAAATATATACAAATATTAAATTCCATACCCATTAACTCAAGTGGTCAATGGGTTCAGTGGCACCCATATTCATATCCTGGATTCGCCTAAACAAATAAATCATGACTTGCCATAATAAATGTACCAAATCAAGATCTAGACGACTTTATTAGTCCAAATTCAATAACATTAATGCAAGATAATTAGGAAACACTTAGTCACTGGAAATCTCACAAGTCAACATCACAAAATTAGCATCAACTATAACTACTACAATCAACGACCACTTATGACAACAAAAAAAGGGAAAGAAGAAGCTTCATTCAATTCAACGAACCCAGATCTAACATAGACACGAACTTTAGTCGCGGCTCCTCAGTACATAAATCGATGTATAGTATCTTATTGCATTGGAATCACAATAATATGGCATATGTAAGTATCTAGGAAAATAGGCTATTATTTTAATGTAATAGCAGAAATACCTGAACAAAGGGACCTGAAGGAAGATGAGGACAAAATAAATTCTAGAAGCGTATTTGGAGAGGTTGCTCCATCTTCCTTTTGATGATGTTGAAACTGATGCAGCGTTCGCCATTCCCAATTCGCAGAAAAGCGAAGTCTATGGAAGGAGACAATGAAGGGTGGAGGGCTTTCTGGGACTTCTAGGAAATAGATACTTACACTTATGGCTTGGCCCAGCTTCTCAATGACAATAAAAGTGTTTTTTTCCCAAAACACTTTTTTTTCTTAATTTGAGGTGTTTGGCCAAGGTTATTTGGAAAAAAAAAAGTGCTTTTGAGAAGAAGTAGAAACAGTTTAAAAGAGCAGAAAAAAATAACTTCTTTCCAAAAGCACAAGCAGAAGCAATTTTGGCTTTCTTCTTACCTAAAATATCCTTAACAAAATATAGTATATACCAAAATAACCCTTAAACCTAATACTTAGGATATTAATTTATAAATATTTCTTCTTATTTTTAGAAAACTTTCTAATATATAGTGTCTTTAGGGGTGAATGCTTTTATATTTGTTGAAGGAATTTTAATATATTTAACTTATATTAAAAGAATTAAGTACTTTTAAATTTTATTTTCATATTTTACTTAAATAAAATGAATTTTTTTTTTAATTATTGCATGTAATAACAAAATTTTGATATTATTTATTTACTTATAATATTAATTATTAAGTAAATCTATTCATGTCCTTATTCGTAATTTGACACTTAAAAGCATTTTCTAAAAAGCTTGGCCAAACACGAATTATTTCTCAAAAGTGCTTTTCAGATTGATTAGCCAAACACAAACTGATTCTCTCCAAAAGTACTTTTTTCAAAAGCACTTCTCAAAATAAGCTGATTTCTCCAGCTTGGCCAAACAGACTATTAGTGGGGAAAAATTTTATTTTGTGTGTTGACACGAGCGACACTACTTGTATGAGGCAACTTTTTTATCTCACAGTTTTATGGACCCAGATTATCCAGAAGTATAAGATTGGGGTCCACAAATTTGTGAGACAAAAAAGAGCCTCATACAACTAGTGTAAGTTGTATGAGACACAAAATAAAACTTCTCCTTAGTGGGTGTTTGGACATAAGAATGGTAAAATTCAAAAAAAGGAGAAAAAATTTGTAAGTAAAAATGGTATTTGAAAAATTAGAGTTGTGTTTGGACATAAATATAATTTTGGGTTATTTTTAAAGTTTTTGCGAGTGATCTGAGTGAAAAATTTGAAAAAAAAAACTTTTTGGAGTTTTTCAAATTTCGAAAAATTCCAAAATCTATCTTTAAGTGAAAATTGAAAATTTTATGTCTAAACACTGATTTCGAAAAAAAAAAGTAAAAAAACTCTTATGTCCAAATGGGTTCTTAATACCCTAAATTATACAACTTTTGTACATGCCTACCTAAACTATTACCTATTATCAAAACTCACTCTCCTAAACTATATCACCCTTCGTACTAAAACTCTCTTGTTGTTTATGTAGCATAATATGTATAATAAATCACTAAAAAGCGCATGAAAACTGATAAAAGTCATAAAAATAGTCCACCTAACAGTGTCTCACGGCTAATTAACCCTTTTTAAAAATATATATTTCTTTTTATTTTTCCTCTTTTTCTGTATATTTCATCTTTCTTCTTTATTTTTTTTATCGTTCTTCTCCATTTTTCACATTTCTTCTCCATTTCTTCATTTGAATCCATCTCAAATTCTCTCTCTTATTATTTTTGAGTTTATCTATCTATTTCGTTTTATCCATCCTTCATTTCTTATACAAATTTATTTGAAAGAAGGAACACTCGTTCAAGTATTTGTCGAGTATCAGGTTTAATGTCTTTTATAGTTGTGGGCAGCCTGCATCTGTGAGAACATCAACAACAAATACTAATCCAGAAAGACATTTTATTGGATGCAAATACTATTGGATATTCATCTTTCAAATCATTATATGTTATGTGATATATTCTGGCCAAGATTTTATTTTATTTTATTCCTAATGGTTTGATCAAATTTTTCGAGCTAAGGATCGTGTGGCTTGTGATATTTTCAGTGGTACAATCCGAAATTTTCAAGCCAATCAAAAGTGTTAATTCTTAGTTTGCGGAAGGATAAAATATTAATTTGAGGCTGAATTGAAGAAGGGGAAAAATTTGAAGATGTTGCTTATTATTAGTTTATGTCTCAATGTATATTTTTGGTTGTTCAAATGCACGAGGTGTTGTTTAACCATCAACCTTATTTTTGTTAGGTAGAATTACTCCATGAAGTTTTGGAATTATGTTTGTGGTATCTAGAATTAGAGGGGGCTGATTTTCCTTTAGTTTCTATTTTTGTATTCATTTCTTTTGTGTGATTTGAAGAATTTGGTTTCATGTTGATTATGAGTAAATGCTTTCATTATGATTTTATGTTTCACAATCGCAATTAAAGCTAGAAATAATACATCCAGTTCAAATACCTAGAACTAATCAGTTTTACATCAGAACTTGCATCCCAAAAGCATAGAAATAGCACAAGTTTAATAGTTTACATCATAACTTGCACCCCAAAAATATTGTTCAAACCACAATCAAAATATTATTTTACATCAGTTTGCAACCAGAGTAGAGTAGTGTCGAAGCTCAAACACCTCCAGTTTTATCACCAGCTTTTGGTGAATTTGACCTTAAATATTGTAGTAATGCACTTTTGTGTTGAAGTTGTGATTGCTTGCTTTCTCTTCCATTTCAGGCATTTACTTGATTTAAAACCAAGATCACTAGTTACCACAGTTGAACTTTCCATTGCTCCAGTATTGGTTATCCTATTAACAGACCTTTCTTGCTGAAAATCAAGTGAAAAAAAGAGATATCAAACAACTAAGTTAAATCATCAACCTCAAACTAGCACACCAAACTGCTCCTTACTTCAACATATGTAAAGCCATTTTTCCAGACAAGCACTCCATCTCCCACTACTCTTGGCCTCTTAAATACAGTAAGAGTACCTCTGTTGCTTGCCTGAGACTACTGAAACTTGAGATTTCTGGATATCTGAGGTTTGTGAGCTCTGCACCATCTTGCCATTGCCTCTTCCTCTATCAGTCTTGTTTTTAGCATTCTTCTTACTAGTATATGCTTGTAAGTCAACTTTTGATCTCTTCCTAGAGGTTGATGTTTGTGAGTGAGCCACTCCCTTTTGCAAGAAAAAAAATTACATTGTTAAAGTAGTGTCAATATACTATGTAAAAAACAAAAACAAAAATAAAGTAGTGTGAAGTGCACAGAGGTAACATTGATTATAACATGTGATTTATTAGTTTATAAGAGCAAAACAGTGTCCAAAACCACAAAACAGTCAAACTCATCTACTTCTCCTAAGCAGTAAGTAACTTAATTATACTCCTACTCTACTGAAGCAAACCAAGAAATTTACTTACCAAGATCCTATACGAGTTACTCCACTAATAATTTATAGTCAAAGTTGTCAACCCAAAAATAAATTTTGAAGAAACCCCTATAACTCCTCTTCACTTTGGGTACAAAAATAAAGAATTAATCAGTCACATAATTGTATAAAGGGAACTAGAACAATACAGGACACTAGTCTACCGTAGTAACTTCAGTAACCTAAAATCAGTTGTTCATTTATTACATAATTATTGCTAAATATCATTATTCATGTGAAGTGGATAACGTACTATGTAAAAAAACATAAATAAAGTAGTGTGAAGTGGACAGAAAGTACCTCTAAAGTACTTTGAGGTGTGTTTGGACATTTTTTTTTTATTATGAGATGTTGACTTAGGAATTGAGCAACTCATTGATATCTCCCTCTTTGTAAGCTTTCCACTACTTTTTATTTTCCGAACTTCTTTTCTTATAGAGGGGAGGGGGGCCTTGCAAGCATTATTCTAACAAGAGGTAGTTCAACCTTTTTATTTGTTGATTCAGGCCAGATCTCCATACATGGTATTGGTTGTATAAAATGAGAATAAGCTTTTAGGTAAGTCTATTTCTTGTACCATTCACAAATGAAGTCAAGTGGATTAAGTCTGTTGTGATGAATTGTTGCTACATCATGTGCACAAGGTATCCCTTTCAGTTGCCAAGCTCTGCAACTACATTCTCCCTCAGTCAACTTGACAATGTGTTTAACCTTTTGTAGCTCCCTAACTTTATATCCAACATCACCATTCTAGTGTATTATGAACCTCATTGATCTCTCTATATTTGTAACCAATACCGTCATTTTCATTGGGGATATGTCTTCATTCTAAGTATCTGCAAATGCCCTTACTCTAGTGAACGTGTTCATTACCTTTGTCCTAATTTCTTCAAGTATGGTAATGATTGTCTTGTGCCTAGGACCCAAAATCCAACCATTGAAGCTTTCAGTCATATTATTACCCACTCTGTCATACTTGAAAGATGTTCTAAAAGGTGCTTTGCTCCATTTCTCAAGATAATAACTTACCAGGTCTTCACATATATTGTGTCCTAGCTTACTTAGATTGTCAAACCATAAACTCTCGAACGTTCGGAATCAACTCTCTCAAACCATCAAAGTTCGGAACATATATCCAACCCTGAAGTTGCATAACACCATCCTCTCCAATCACAACCTTCTTCACGCCACCATGTTGCACCGTGTCCTTTAGTACCGACAAATGGGGATCATCAAAATGGCGAGCCTTAATGCGCTGCAACAAAGAAGACTGTGCCAAAACATAAGCAAGTGCTCTACTTGGCTTAGAAATATCCAATATCACAAATCTGTTGGCCAAGGCCTGAACATTCATAGTCAAAGCCTCTCCACGACTGGAATAGATGCAAAACTAGCCATGATCTCTGCTTCCTACTCAAGGCATGTGCTACCACATTCCCCTTGTTCGGATAATACAAAATAGTGATATCATAGTCCTTAAGAACTCGAGCTATCTCCGCTGCCATAAATTCAAATATAAACCTCACACAACATGCTTTACAAATGGTGCCTCCAAATCTTAAGCGAATGAACAATAGTTGCCAACTTCAGATCACAAAAAAGATAATTCATCTCGTGGATCTTCAATTATCAAAACGCACAGGCAATCACCCTTCCGTCCTGCATCAAAATTATGCCAAGCCTAGAAACATCACAATTCACGGTATAAAGGCCCTGAACCTATAGGCAATACTAACATAGGGTTGTAGTCAAGGCAAACTTGAGCTTCCGATAACTCTCGTCACACTCATATGACCATCTGAAAAGAATACCCTTCTAGGTCAACTTGGTCAATAAAACTACAATAGATGAAAATACCTTAACAAAGCAATGATAATAGCTTGCCAAACCCAAGAAACACAGAATTTCAGTAGCTAAAGTAGGTCTAGGACAAATCCAAACTGTCTGAATCTTCTTAGGATCAACTTTGAAACCTTTGCTAGACACAACATGACCCAAGAATACAACTGAGTTCAACCATAACTCACACATCAAAAACTTGACATACAGCTGAAGATCCTTCAAAACCTTAAAGTTGATGGAACATTGGTCAAATCAAAGGACATAACCAAGAATTCATAATGACAACAACAAGTCCTAAAAGTTATATTAGGGAAATCAGAAGCCTTAATCTTCACCTGATGATAGCCAGATCTCAAATCAATCTTAGAGAATACCTTGGCACTCTAAAGTTGATCAAACAAATCAGCAATACGAGGCAATGGATATATGTCCTTGATGGTGACCATATTCAGCTGCTGATAATCAATACACATCCCCCATACAACCATCTTTCTTCTTCACAAACAATACTGACGAATCCCAATGAGAAACACTCGATCTAATTAAACCTTTATCAAGCAAATCCTAAAATTGCTCCTTCAATTCTTTCAACTCAGCTCGAGCCATACAATAAGGATGAATAAAAATAGTTTGAGTACCCGTAACCAACTCAATATCTCTATCCCGCGGTATTCCTGGTTAGTCCACTAAAAAACACCTCCGAAAACTCTCTCACAATTGGTACAGAGTCCATGGAAGGAACCTCCACAGTAGAATCACGAATATAAGCCATATATGCCAAATACCCCTTCTCGACCATATGTTGATCCGTCAAAAATGAAATCTCTCTACTCGATGAATGACCAAGGGTCCCTCTCCACTCTAATCTAGGCAATCCCAGCATGACTAAACTCATAGTCTTGGCATGGCAGTCCAAGATAGTATGATATGGCGAAAACCAAACCATACCAAGAATGACCTCAAAGTCAACCATATCCAACAATAAGAGATCAACCACAATATGAAAACTAGTAAAAGTAACAACACATGACCGGTACACCCGATCAACAACTATAGAATCCACAACCAGTGTAGATATAGAAATAGGAATATTAAGAGAATCATGAGGCATACTCAAGTGCGAAGCAAAATATGAAGACACATAAGAATATAGAACCCGGATCAAACAACACTGATACATATCTATAATAAATAGTGACAATACCTATAATAACTACATCAAACGACTGCACCTCAAACCTTCCTGAAAATGCATAACAACAAGGTTGAACCTTAACAATATGTCCTCATTTGCTAGGATGACCTCTATTTGGCTGACCTCAACCTCTAACTGTCTGACCCCTACCCCTGGCTAGTTGGGTGGGTGATTGTAATGACCCGGCCGATTATTTTGATTTCTATCATTTTGTTCTAATAGCCCTTTTGAAGGGAAACTTTCGTATCTATGATGTAGTTCGCTTTCTTGGAGTCTCTTGCTATGTTCTTTATATTATAGTATCAGAGCCAGCACATCCGTTCAGAGGGAGGAATAATTTACTAAATTTGTCTGAGTCATTTCCATCATCCTCTTCTCTTGCAAAAATGAATATGTCCCCTACTCTAATATAAAATCTTGTTCAAAAAATATGATTACCTTTATAAAGTAGATATCCTACCCGATGAATAGAAAGTATCCTCTACTGAACTACCCCTCATAAACCCTTACTTAGCTTTTGCTAAAACATCATTTGCACCCTGGACCCAAATTCGTTCCTTAGTCCAACACAGACCAAAAGGAGTCAAAGAATATGTTACTGCCTCAAAACTTGACCAGCATCTTATTCTTGCCACTCTAGAGGAACAATTTATTACCCTTCAAATCCCAGATGATTTTCCCAGACAATGGAGAGATCATGGTTTTACCCATATCCATTTTGGTGCTATCCGAATCACTTTAACATATCACGAAAGAAAAGGTCAACCTATTGTTGCTAGACTTTCTCTATACAAGATACTTGGAGTACCAACATGCAAATTTGGGTACTGCAGAAGTTACCATGAATGTTGGGACTGTCATTATAATTATCTTTCCAAATTTCAACATGTCCCTTTATGACCCATATTTAACTAAAGCACTAAAAATCCAAGTCCAAATCTAGGGAGCCCCACAAGCCAAAGATTCCATCCAAGCCACTCTTCATCACCAAATGGCGTGGCGGGTCCAAAATTATGCCATGAATCTCTGCCTTCTCGGAGGAGAAAATTATTTACTCTTGAATATTGATGCTCCAAAGGAAACACCATCCCAATAACACAGATAAATTTTCAGAGATGAGCTTGTCAAAATCCTTCCTAATTCCTGGATCACAAATTATGAGAAGTTAAGGAAACCAGAAAAATCTTTCCAATCTAGTGAGCCAACTTTTACCAAAAGAATTGACAAAACTGGTTCCATAAGATTTGACCATTCCCATCTCAAAAAAACCAATAAAATCATCTTTTCTTGCCAAATGATCCAACCCAAAGAAAAAAACCTTAACCTTGAAAATGAACCCTTTTAAAATACACAAACTATCATAGAAGAATATGACTGGTGTCAACATTTTAACAAAGAAGGTAAACAAGTTTGGTGGTTCAAGTGCCCCTTCACGGGACACTGTCCATGGGATCTTGGTTGTGACTGTCAAGACTATTTGGAAGATCCAATTGGAGAAACTGATGAACACTACTTGCGCCATTGAGAAAGATTTGACCTCAACAAAACCAAACCTGAAACCAAGATATAGGGGAAACCTACTGAAAAGCAATTTAGAGCCAAACATGAAAATAAAGATCCTTTAATTGACTCATTAAGCCGACCAAATAAATATGAATTTCTTGTCAGTTATAAACCCTAAGAATGGCCAAACTTACTAGAAAAATTCACTCCAAGCTGGGGAGATAGTGAAATAACACCCAAATCCAAACCACTATCAGCTCATCCCCAAAAGTCCAAAAGGCTACCTGAACCTAAAATGCCATCAACCCAAAAGTCCACACAACCACAAATATTCATGTTATGCCCTTCAAGTTTCGGTCATGCCCAAGATTTTCATTCACTTCAACCTTTTGAAAAAGAGGATATCAGTCATGCTCCAAAAATCCCTAAGAAAAATATAATACTACCTACTGGAAAAAAAAACCCAACAAGTGACATCGAAGCAACAACGAACTGGCAATCAGAAAATTTTATCTGTCAAAACAAAAGTGCTCAACAATATTGGC